AACGACAACACGTGTAGGTCAATGTAGATAAAGGAAATTTGATTGTCACCTTAATCGTTAGCAAAATATTATGCGATTTACACTTTAATTTGTGACGTACGCCGCCATGTAGCGCTATTCGTGAGGCTCATTTTATGAGCCCCGCGTTTGACCTGCGGTCGATTAACATGCTTCGTTTACATAGTAATTATGCTTTACTAAACATGTCACGCACACAGATAAACGACAACACGTGTAGGTCAATGTAGATAAAGGAAATTTGATTGTCACCTTAATCGTTAGCAAAATATTATGCGATTTACACTTTAATTTGTGACGTACGCCGCCATGTAGCGCTATTCGTGAGGCTCATTTTATGAGCCCCGCGTTTGACCTGCGGTCGATTAACATGCTTCGTTTACATACTAAATATGCTTTACTAAACCTGTCACGCACACAGATAAACGTTAACACGTGTAGGTTAATGTACATGACGTTAGTTTATTCTTCTAAGTATTCGTTATCGAACTATGAATGACAATACACTTGGTGACGTCGCTATATCGCTTAGAGGCTCATTTTATGAGCCCCGCGTTTGACCGGCGGTCTATAAACACGCTTCGAATTCATACTAGATATGCTTTGCTAAACCTGTCACGCACACATCATACTAGATATGCTTTGCTAAACCTGTCACGCACACAGATGAACGTAAACACGTGTAGGTTAATGTACATGACGTTAGTTTATTCTTCCAAGTATTCGTTATCGAACTATGAATGACAATACACTTGGTGACGTCGCTATATCGCTACGAGGCTCATTTTATGAGCCCCGCGTTTGACCGGCGGTCTATAAACACGCTTCGAATTTATACTAAATATGGTTTGCTAAACCTGTCACGCACACAGATGAACGTAAACACGTGTAGGTTAATGTACATGACGTTAATTTATTCTTCCAAGTATTCGTTATCGAACTATGAATGACAATACACTTGGTGACGTCCCTATCTCGCTATGAGCTCGTATGCCCGGCGGTCGATATATACACGACTCGTTTACATACTAAATATAATTTACTAACGCTATCAAGCTCACAGATGAACGTAAACACGTGTAGGTTAATGTACATGACGTTAATTTATTCTTCCAAGTATTCGTTATCGAACTATGTATGTTAATACACTTGGTGACGTCGCTATATCGCTACGAGGCTCAGAAATTGAGCTCCGCGTTTGACCGGCGGTCGATTAACATGCTTCGTTTACATACTAAATATGCTTTACTAAACCTGTCACGCACACAGATGAACGTGTGTTGTGTAGGTTAATGTACAGGACGTTAGTTTATTCTTCCAAGTATTCGTTATCGAACTATGAATGTCAATACACTTGGTGACGTCCCTATATCGCTACGAGGCTCAGAAATTGAGCCCCGCGTTTGACCGGCGGTCGATTAACATGCTTCGTTTACATACTAAATATAATTTACTAATGCTATCAAGCTCACAGATGAACGTAAACACGTGTAGGTTAATGTACATGACGTTAATTTATTCTTCCAAGTATTCGTTATCGAACTATGAATGTCAATACACTTGGTGACGTCCCTATATCGCTACGAGGCTCAGAAATTGAGCCCGCGTTTGACCGGCGGTCGATTAACATGCTTCGTTTATATACTAAATATCCTTTACTAAACCTGTCACGAACGTAAACACGTGTAGGTTAATGAACATGACGTTAATTTATTCTTCCAAGTATTCGTTATCAAACTATGTATGTCAATACACTTGGTGACGTCGCTATATCGCTACGAGACTCAGAAATTGAGCCCCGCGTTTGACCGGCGGTCGATTAACATGCTTCGTTTACATACTAAATATGCTTTACTAAACCTGTCACGCACACAGATGAACGTAAACACGTGTAGGTTAATGTACATATAGTAATTAAGCCGAATAATTATTATTATTAATCGTTATTAAGCTGAATACACTTTATGTGTGCAGATCGCCTATAGGCGCAGTATATACTGGCGTAGATAATAGATAAATAGGCTTAGTCATCAATACGATACGTTCCGATACATTCCCATAGTTTCTTAGATCGGGCGGTAGATGGCGGTAGTGTAAAACTGCGCCGCCATACTGGACGTCATAAACTGTATTTGCACCGGCTTTCATGTTTCATCGTTTTCATTATGTTTCATCATTTTTACATCATATGTTTCATTCAATAATTTTTACATCAAGGTTTGTTTTCATACGAATGGTAACATAAGAATTATTATAATTGGTAGAATAGGCTGCGACTAGCTAGCACCGTGACTCGTTACGTCATCGTAAAAAATTATTTTTTTCGGGTATTCTCGTTCCCTTAGCTGGCCATACATGTTATCTAATATACATATCCTATATTTATATATAACTTCTTAAGTATGTGGTTACAAGTTTTTTGGTTTATGCTAATTTGATAATATAGTGAGATATAAGTCGCGTTCTTTATTTTTCATTTGAACAGATCTATTGCCGGGCGAGCAGACCGGCAGATTCAGCTTTTAGAGAGTGCGTTGGAAGATGGCGCCTGTGGCGTCACTTTCATGTTAAGGCCACGGATAGGCACCCCTAGCGCTACTCCACGCATTAATTTATAGAGATCAGCGGAATTTTCCGTCACAAGTAGAGACATAAGAACATCCAGAATGGCGTTTTAGCAACGAAGCTAGATTAATTTGCGACCCAACAATGCGGTTAGCCTGCTAGAAATAGTTGCGCTGGAGTCGGCCAGCCACATTGCAGAGGTTGAAGATTATCCGACAGTACCCATATGCACACCGGGGATAGAGTGGGGAAGTGGGCTTGTTTATTCTTTTTGTGTGTGCTGTGAGAGTTATGTAATATGTTTTATTTGAGATTCACGGTGATATTAGTGTGTGCATATGTGAAGTGGTGCGTGTTTATTTTTTTGCGTGTGGCTGGAGTAGTTATGGTAATATGTTTATTGAGATTCATTATGGATGTAGGGGGCATTATGACCTGCAGAAGAGCCCCGACTGTACGTACACCACTATATTCGCGCTGACAATATATATGCGTGCGGTAGAGTGTGCACGTCACTGTGCTCGTGCGCTGCGTGTTGTGCACGTGCGTGGCGTGTGGTCATACATGTTAACGTGCATGCGTTGCGTGTGTAGCCGTCGCGGTGTGCAGGTACACGTCGTCGTGCGTGACTGTGCTGACGTACATTTGTGCGTTGCTGTGCGGTAGCATGCTGTGCGTGGGGTCGGTGGTACGTACCCGTGCGTGCATGCGTACGCGTGTGTGCTGCGCTGCGTGCGTATGCACGTACAGGGTGCGTGCATGCTGTGCGTATGTTACGTGCGTGCGCTGAGCGTACTGCCACGTACACATGCGTGCATGCGTCGCGTTGGCGCTTGCACGCTACACGGAATGGTGCGTGGCGTCGCGTGTGTACGTCACAGTTGCGTGCGCGTGTCTATATGTGCGTGCGTGTAAACGTGCACAGTGTGTGCGTGCCGTGTGCGGTGTCGGTCACCTCACCATTTACGTGCATGCAGGGGCAGATTAAGCGCTCACTGGTGCCCTGAGCACTGGGACCAATCTTGGTGCCCCTCTCCTTTCTACACTGACCCAGTGTCCCATTTTTTGTTGTTGACCTGTCTGAACTCGATATACAATTGCAGCCGTTGTGCACGCAGTACAAACCATTTATGTAGGATTTGCGAAGGGAGGGTGGTGATAAACAGGCGGGGGGTATGAGGGCTCCTCCCCCCAGAATTTTTTTTAAATGTAGATCGCAGGAGATGGTATTTGAGGCAATTTTGAGCGTACATGCATGTACACCTTCATTCTGACTACGAGTCAATCCTTTTTTTTTTTTACATGTTTCAGTTGTGAAAAAGACCTCTCTGTTGTGCAGTTGGTAACCATTAATGTTAAAAATATTCTTAAGGCAATTTCAACATTTGGAAAAGCACTCTCTAGTTTGTCTTCTGTAATTGTGTTGTAAAGTTCCATGTGAGTGAAAGATGTTTTCTTGGTTGTTTTAAACTCATGAAGAACATATGAATGGAACTGCTGAAGCTCTGTAGACAAAGTGTTGTTCATGTCATCTGGATAAGCATCAATGAGTGTCTGCCAAGTCTTTGAGTACCTTTCACTTTCTGATAATTGGGAATTAGCACCTTGTTGGGTGGCATTAGGGGCCCCTTGTATTGTATTGTATTGCTGGGGGCCCCTTGTGGTACACCTGGAAAGTACAAATCTTTATTCGTTTTTTTTTCTTTTCACTTTTTTTCCAACTTTGTGGTGCCCCCTTTGGCCCTGGTGCCCTAAGCACGTGCTTAGTCTGCTTAATGGTTAATCCGGCACTGCGTGCATGCGTGCGTGTGTGCGTGCGTGTGCAGGTACACGTGTGTGCATGCGTGCGTGCGTGCGTGTGCACGTCCACGTGTATGGGTGCGTGCGTGCGTGCGTGTGCACGTACAAGTGTGTGCGTGCGTGCGTGCGTGCGTGCGTGCATGCGTACGTGTGTGCTTGCGTCCATATGTGAAGTGGGTGTTGATTCTTTTATGTGTGCTCAGGAGTTATGTAATATGTTTATTGAGAATCACGGTGATATTAGTGGTGCATATGTGAAGTGGGTGTTGATTCTTTTGTGTAGGCTCAGGAGTTATGTAATATGTTTATTGAGATTACTAAAGCTACAAAGACTCAAGTTGCAATACAAATTATGTATATCTTTATTTCTAAAATGCAGCCATTTACTACAGACACTAGGCATTACTGCTGACAATAGCTCGCCTAAAGTTGAAAATCATGAAGCACACCTTAACAATTCTTTCAGCGAGAGAAATATTCTGATTGGGCAGGTCTCTTTTTAGCTCATCTGACATAGTCAGATGCAGCTTGTAGAATCGCATGATTGTCCGTCCGTACGTCCGTCCGTCCGTCCGTCCGTCCGTCTGTCAACAGTTGGGCACAAATCTTAACCGCTCGACGTACGGTCACGATATTCGGCACATTGAGGGGGATCGTCAAAACGAGTTGGGATGTCGAAGCTGGGGGTCAAAGGTCAAAGGTCAAGAGGTGTAAAAGAAGGGGGAACATTCACTCCTTAACTTAAGGTATAGGGAGGAAATGCAGAATTGCGGCACAAATCTAAACGGCTCGACCTCGTGATAGTTGGTGTATAGCATCATGGTAGGAAAAGCCAACTCCTGTGCCGAATTGGAGGTGCATCCGGTCAAAGGTCAATGGCGCACAGGGCAAGATTTTAGACATTTTCTGAGCGGAACATGGTCTCACGGAGCGATTGAAAAACTTTTTTGTGTTCAAGCGGTGACCTAAGCATTTTTATGGCTATTATTGAAAAAGGAGCCATGAAATCTACTTTCTGGGCTGACATGCAAAGAGTAAGTGTCAGATAAGCCTTTTAGACCCCTCAAGAGGAGGGGTAAACATGGAGTGGTTGTTGACAGTCTTTGTTAGAACGAATTTGCTGGCCGGGTTGTGCTATAGAATCTTATACATCGCCTGAATGTATGAGGCTACAAGTCACCAGTGATAATTTCAGAAGCTAAAATTTGGTTAAAGAAGGTTTATGCTCCTTAAAATCGTATAATTTCTATTGGCATCTGTATGTCAGTATGTTTACATGTAACGTAATGCCATGCCAGTGGCTACTGCCAGTGCATGTGTTGGGGTACTGGTGTAGTTTTTTGCCTGTGCTTAATTGGTTACAGGTGCGAGCTCTCGTATGCAGCCTGTATGCTCCTGCGTAGGTCAAGGCTGAGTGCTTACCGTATTCTCGTCTTGCAAGATAAGTTGTTGCATACTACGTACGGATGGGAGCTTCACTCTTTAATCTGCCGAACACTAAAAAGCGTACGTGCCATCTCGTCGGCAACTTTCATAATGATTCCAACGGAACGATTCCCTTTGAGAAGGTTCTTGATACCATCCCTGTGCGTTCCATGTTCGGGCGTGTATGTGACACATTTGGGACTAACAGACCGGGTTTACTAGAGAATCCCACCCACTGCCACCAAGGCACCACAGTAGAGGCGTT